GACAAAGTAGACCGGGAGCTGACAGCCGTCTCTTTCAGCAAGAAGAACAGCGCTTAACGCATGATCAGAGACGGCCAGGTACATGTAGAGTACTTCTTTGGGCAAAGGGCTGACCAACCTCGGCAAGGAATGCAAGTGAACTTTCAATTTCTGGAAGGCCGCCTCAGCATCCGGCCCCCATTCAAACCTTGCTTTTTTCTTAATGGCCTAGAAGAAGTATAAGCATTTGTCGCCTGATCGGCCTAGAAATCTTCCCAAGGCCGCCAGACAACCCGTTAGCTTCTGAACCTCTCGGATGGTGCGAGGCGACTGCATGCCGATGACCGCCTGCACCTTCTCAGGGTTCGCCTCTATTCCTCTCTAATTGATAAGGAATCCGAGAAATTTCCCAGACTCAACTCCAAATACACATTTCTTGGGATTGAGCATGACATGGTGCCGCCTGAGTGTGGCGAATGTTTCTCGGAGATCCGACAGATGGTCTGTCTGAAACTTAGACTTAACGATCATATCATCAATGTATGCTTCGACGTTCCTCCCAATCTGATCAAAGAACACAGTGTTTATCATTCGCTGGAAGGTGGCCGGGGCATTCTTCAGACCAAACGACATGACCGTGTAACAGTATAACCCTTGATCAGTGACGAAGGCCGTCTTCTCCTGATCGTTCTTCCATAAAGGAATTTGATGGAAACCAGAGTAGGCGTCCATAAAGCTCATTAGAGCATGGCCGACTGTTGAGTCGACCAGATTATCAATTTTTGGCAGAGGGTAACTGTCCTTTAGGCACGCCTTGTTCAAGTCTGTGTAGTCTACACACATTCGCTAGGTACCATTCGGCTTTTTAACAAGCACTACATTTGCAACCCAGTTGGGGAAGTAACATTGTCGGATGAACCCCGCATCAAGTAATTTCTTAACTTCAACGGTTGCCGCCTGACTTCTCTCTTCGCCATGGTTTCATTTCTTTTGCCTTACTGGCTTCTTTTTCGGATCTACAGCCAGTTTATGTACCGCCAGGTCAGGACTGATGCCTGGTATTTCATGGACTTCGAATGCAAAGATGTCTTTGTATTCTTTCAAGAGTTTGTGAAAGTCGTCACCTAGGACTCTCAGAGCAGTCGTCACAACCTTGACTGTTCGGTCAGGACGCAAGTCGTCTAGGATCAGGTCCGTATGCTCACCAGCCGGCTGAGGGCGGAATTCATCCGACCGCTCCTCTGCCAATGATTGCTATTTTCTCTCTTTTCTTGCGGCCCCCATCTGGGCAGCCTTTCTCTTCTTGCCGCCTGCTTCTTGAACAAGCGCACTCTCCTTGACATTGTCAAGGTCTGTTTTTCCACCACTTGACCCAGCGGCCATGACAGTGGGCTTGATATCCGAGAGATAGCACTCTCGAGCCATCTTCTGATCTCCCCTTAGGGAGCCGACGGTTCCATCATCCCTCTCAAACTTGAGCAACATAAGAGATGGGATTATAACAGCCTTGGAATTATTCAGGGTTGGTCGTCCCAGAATCATGTTGTAGGCCGAGAGTTCCTCTACTACCAGGAACCGGACCACCATGTGTCGTCCTTCCCCTTTTTCACCCAAGCGGATGGGTAAATCCACTCGTCCCACTGGGTGGACGACTCCTCCTCCAAACCCTACTAGAGGGTGGGATACCGGATGTATGCAATCAGTCTGATATTTGAGTTTTGACAGACATTTTCTACTGATAAGGTCTGAGGAGTTGCCGGTATCTATGAGGATTCGGCCAACTCTCTGGTTGGCCACTTTACATTCAATAACAATGGGGTCGTCATGCGACCCCCTTACCCCTCCTAAATCTTCTTCAGTGATGACAATCTCAGGAAAAGAATATTTGGAGGGTCGTTCTTGGTGAACGGAATTGACGTCTAGCCGCCTGATATTGTCTTTATTGCCCCTAATAGTGGGGCCGCCTCCTGAGAAGCCGCCTGCAATGGTGTAGACGACTACATCATCTGTATCAGAGCTGTCGGCCTGTCGATTCTTTTGGGCCGACTGTTTCTTCGAGGAAGAGCTCCCCTTAGATTTCTTGACATAAGAGTCAAGATCGCCTTGTTCATCCAGGCGGTCCAGATACCGCATGAGGCTGATACATTCGTTGGTTTGATGACCAACATCTTCATGATAATCACAAAATTTTTCTTGGTTCCGGTTGCTCGCAGAACCCTTCATGGGGGCCGGCTTCTCAATTGAGATCTGTCCCTTGATTTCTTTTAGGATAGCTTGGCTATCCTTGCTAAACGCATACTTTGGAGAGTATGGTTTGAAGTCTATCTTCTTCTTCTGGGCCGGCTGTTTAGAGGAATCAGCCGCCCAGACCTCTTTTCTCTTTTTCTCATCTTTGTTGGACGACTGTTTCTGTCGTCCTTCTTTTTTGTCAAACCTTTTCCCGTCCGACTGTTTTCCCGTACTACAAAGATTAGTCGCCTGTATATAGGCTTCTTGAAGAGTAGCCACCCTCTTTCGAACCAAATCAAATTTGAAGGTCGACCCGTCTTTGAGGCCTCTAAAAAAGTCAGTGTAGGCCACCTCATCCGGTAGCCCTTGAATCTGTATTCGCATTAGGTTAAACCGCCTGATGTAAGAACGAAGCCCCTCCTTCTCGCCCTGCTGAATCGTCCCTAAATCAAGGGTCGTCTTCTTCGCAGGTATGTTCATGGCGAAGTTGGAGGCGAATAAGTAAGCAAGCGTCCTGAAATTATTCACACAACCAGTCGGCAGGTTGCCGAACCATTGTTGGGCGATTCCTTTGAGAGTCGCTGGAAAACACTTGCACCAAGTGGGATCATCCAACCCTTGAAGATACATCAGGTTGGTGAATGCCATCAAATGGTCTTCTGGGTTAGTAGTGCCATCATAGGCGCCTACTAACACATTTTTCACTTTGGCCGGCTGAGCGGCTTCTGTAATTTCCTTGGAGAAAGCCGACGGCTGTTCCCCAAGTCTAAGCAACCGTAGCTGCCAGTCCATAGGTTGGACATTCTTTGCCGCATGTCCTCCAAACAGAGGTTGCTGCAAAAAATATTGTTGCGGTACAAATGGCAAGTTTGGTACCGCCTGGTCACTATGAAAGCCGGACTGACGGGAGGTACCGCCTGACTGACTCTCATGATGTGACTGTGTATACCTCATAGAGGTATTGCGCAGTCTGTCTTGGAAGTCTGAAGTAGAGGCCGACTCTAACAGTCGGTCATTCTTCTTTTGCTCTAGCAATAGCCGAGCGGCTGTGTATGTTTTCTTCGAACCGTCCGCCTGAATATGACGAACGGGTTTTCTCTTTCCTGGAGTAGGAAAGCGGTACTTTGTGAAATCAAGGGCAGGCGGCTCCCATTTCCTGGAGTTAGGATGAGGGGTCGCCTCTCGCCCTTGAACAGGCTTCCTCCTCCTTGAAAAAGAAGGTTTCTTAGCCGACTGCTCCTTGGCCAGAACAGGCGTCTTTTTGCTGAGCAACTCTTGAATCTCTCCCTTGAAGCCCCTCATGAAGGTCATGAGTTCGTTCCTTGTAATGGGAGCAGACCCATCAGCCGGCTGCTGCTGAACAGGCGGTGCGACGACTGGATCACTGAGTCCAGTTTGAAGATCTTCCCGTTCTCTCCTTTCGATATGACGGGTGCGCCGGGCCCTTAGGGTCTCGTCTGAAGCTGTATGAGCTTCAACTTCCAACTCTTCTTCAGTATCATGGTCCGACTGAACTTGAGGGTCGTCCAGGGGACGCCCCTCTTCAGGAATCGGTACAGACGTGGATGCCATCTCAAAAGTACTCTCCCCACAGACGGCGCCAAAATGTTTCGGGGTTTTTTGATGTCCTGCGGGAGAGTTACAATTCCGAGACTGGAACCGGACGCCTGTACCTGCAAAACAAACGGATGCTCCGGATGATTGGAGATCCGCCTCCAACGGTCAAGTTAGTACTTGATTAAGGAGTAATTAATGCGGAAAATAAATGTAATTTGGTCTCTCTAGGTGAGAGTGTTAAATGTGCGTAATCCCCTTTAATGAGGATTAATGGGCATATTTATATGCCTTGGGATGCGTGCCAGTACTAGGTTTAGGTTAAACCTAAGGCTGACTGGGCTTCCCACCAAGATTGGGCCTTGTTAGCTGATTTACCTATTTGGCATGATGGACACGTGTCACATCACAATTGGTCCATGGAAGACGTATCTCATGATGACACGTGGCAGACTCCTATTGGCCTAAGTGAAGGACACGTGGCGAAACCTGGCTGGTCCACGTGTCGGATGCTGATTGGTGGATAAAAATCCCCTAATCAGAAATGTCAATATTACCCTTATTTTAAAAATTAAACATTTACTTAGATAATTAATTACATTACACTAATAACTTAATCTGAATATTACTCTAACAACTCACACCAAAAATTAACGCATTTGCGCACCTACCAAATTTAATTCCCTCCATTAAATCCATAGATCTTCATCAATTCATCAGATCTGATAAATGAAAACTCTTGTTCTTGAACATTCTATATATCTTCCCAACTTGGCTTTTTCTCTCTCCTCTCAATCTCCATTTATCTTAACCTCCATTTAATTTCGACTCCGGCAAGCACTAGCACCAATGTCGTCGTGGCTATATATGGTGGTTTTGTGGCAAGAAGGGCAGCAACACACATGGTTGTTTTCGTGGGTTTCATGGATGTGATTTTCGTGGGGGGTCTGGGTTTAAGGGTTACAGTGGGTTTGTGGGTGGTTTCAGTGATTTTTGGTGGGTTTATGGGTGGTTTCGGTGATTTTCGGCGGGTTTGTGGGTGGTTTTGGTGATTTTCGTGGGTTTGTGGGTGGTTTCAATGGTGTCGGTGTTGATGGGTGATCTAAACGGCGTCGAGGGTTTCGGTGTTTTTAGTCGTTCGGTGGTCTGGGTTTAGGGGGTTTCGGTGGTGTCGGTGGTCTGGGTTTGGGGGTTTTGGTGGTGGTGGTGGTGGTAGTGGTCTGGGTTTGGGGGTTTCGGTGGTGGCGGTGGTGGTGGCCTGGTCACCTGGTGAGTGGCTTGGGCTCTTATTTAATCATGTTTATTTTATCTCTCTCTTTCTTAATCACATACCCTTTCATCCCATAATCACCATTATGAAATTTTGACTTTGGATCCGTGTTGTACCTCAAAGTTACAACTAAAACTTAACGGAGGTAGTATTTTAATTCAAAAAAAAAAAAAAAAATTTGAAAATGAAAAAATAAAGTGACATTTGCAAGTATTATTCAGTTGACTCAAGTAGAAGACATTGACTTAAAGAATACAACCAACAATTTCGGCGGACAACTTAACTGGTTTTCCAAATGGAAGGCGACAAATCAATTTCCGGCGAATCATACGGCGGCGATTCAACCTCACGCGCCAAACAACTCAAACCTACTCGTGATCGACTCAGCGATTTACCCGATTTAGCACTCACTCACATTCTCTCTCACTTGTTCGTCGAAGAAGCAGCAAGAACTACCGTTTTATCGAAACGTTTCAACTCAATATGGAACTCAGTTTCCGTACTCAATTTTTCCGACGAGAATTCCGGCAAAGTTGGTAAATTTTTCATCAGTTTTGTTGATATTGCACTTCAGCTGCATCGTCGCCGAGAAATCGAGAGATTTTCCGTCAAATTTGGGTATGATTTCATGTTTTCGAGTTCTGTTGATGATTGGGTTGAATTTGCTGTTAAAAAGCAGGTTAAATTTCTGTGTTTGGATTTAATTCAGAGACGTAGTAGTAATCGGCTTCAAATTCCGATTATTGAGTATAAATTGCCTGAAATTCTGTACAATTATAAGAATTTGGTTGAATTGGTTACTAATGCTTGTAAGATTTCGACTGAGGGGTTGATTAATTGGGGTTCATTGAAGTTATTGAGTGTGTCGAAAACAAAGATGAATGAGGAATTGATTTCTAGGGTTTTGAGTGGGTGTCCTGTGTTAGAGACATTGGAGTTGAGGGAATGGAGTGGTTTTGATAAGCTGAAGATTGAATCAAGTAGTTTGAGGGTGTTGAGGATTGTTGAGGAGCAACGTCCGAATTATGTTGTACAACCTGAAGATAATTGCTTCTTGGAGGTTTCGGGTCCGAATCTTGTGTCCTTGGAAGTTTCGGGTTCTTTGTATAGGACCAAACTTCGGTTGAGTGATGTAGGGTGTTTGTCTAATGCTATGATGAATTTCGAGATTATGCCTCAGAGGCGTGGTTCTACAAATTCTCGGTTTGCTGTGAGGGATCAAGATATTGTAAGGGAAGTCCTTGAGAGTCTTTGCTTAGTAAAGGCATTGACGATTGGCGGATGCTGCATTAAGGTATCATCCTTTCTGTCATGCTTCTCTTAGCATTATTGGTAGATCTTTAGATGTTATTATAGCTACAAACCATCTATGTTGATGTAGTATTCTTCTAGGAAATTTTTCTGTATCAATGTTGACTCTTTTTGACAATAAGATGTTCCCTGAAGATGGTATGGTCAAGTGTGTTAGGCATGGAATGCTAAACTCCTGAATTCTGGACTATGAAGCATGATGTAACTTTTCTATAATAAACTTGTAATTTTTGTCATGTTGAAGTGTAGGAAGTCATTACTACGGAATGCCTGTTTCTGAACTTTATAGATGAACATCAGGCTAGTTTGAAATACAGTATGCATATGTTTCATTCACTTTAATAAGCATGCACTGTTCTTCCTCCCTATTTCACTTTCCAGACGAAGCCTTTCCTCTTACCGTAAATGAATAATATTGCAGCTAAAACTATTTGTATGAAAAGATAAAATGCAAAATGAAACCCAGAGCAATGTCCTGTTTTTTCAGGGTTTTATGACTTTATCTCCATTGGTGTGCATATCTTGGCCTGCAACTTTGATGTGTTGGATCCATGTATATAATGTTTCTTGTTCTCTTTCTTGGTGGCTTGCATTTGTTATTATAACCAAATGCTGATTATATTAACTGATTGTTGTATACTTGTATGTACTAGGCTGTATCTACATGTGAGGCTTACAACCTATCATCTCCTTGGTCAGAACGACAAAGTTTAACTCTGTGCATACATATACGCAAATGGGATCATCTTGGAATAGTTAGCCTACTACACAGTTCTCCTTGTTTGGAGACTTTAGCCGTCAGACTCTCTTATTGTTCTGATACGGTAAGTTACTTGTACCCTTCAATTGTTTCTTTAATTTTACCGAGAAGTGATCACTTGGTTCTGTAAGTTCTGAGGCAATAATATCACTTCTTAAGCTAAGAGCTCTATGGAATCTTGAGTTTGTTATATGCTGAAATGTTATGTAAAGATAAAGCATAAACTATAATAATACCAAAATTCAAAGCTCATATATGTACAGAAATGGGTATAAACACCAAATCAACCAAATAATTGGTTCACAGATACCTTGTTCCTATATACTCCCTCCGTGTTTAAATAAATGAAACGTTTTCCTTTTGCGGCCGTTAATGAAACGTTTACTTTTTTAGTAACTACTCTCTATTTTTTAATAATATAAAATTTTCTCTACTTTTTAATAATATTCTACTAACTAATGGTCCTTACAAAACCCCTTACTTTCTTCTCTCTCCTCAACTTATAACCCATTACCTATTATTTTAATAAATTCAACTAACCTTCCTAAAACTCCGTGAAAGTCAAAATGTTTCATTTATTTAAACACAGAGGGAGTAATATCGGAACTTCTAAGCTTTCCACCTTTAGGAAGGGTTGGTATAGGAATGTCAGGAACACACATCATGTGAAACTGTCTCAGACTAATAATTTTTATGCATTTCATTAGGCATTAGCACTAGCTGTACAAACCTTCTCTCTTACACTATAGCATTATATTCCATATGTTTATGTGGCCATATTTGATACTTGGAAGATGTGGGTTTTTTTTTTTACACTGCACCCCCAAAATATTGCTTGTTTACTATGAGACTAAATGAGGAACTTCCATAGAGGAAACACCTTTGTTTTAAATATAATTTATTTATGTTGTCCATTTCTTACGTTTATTTTTTTGCCATTAAAAGTAAGCCCTTAATTGGTAACATATTCAAGTCTTATTCCATCTATCCAACAGTGACTTTGGTAAAGTGTTAATGGTGAACACAACCCTTGAGCTGGCCACTAAGGTTGTAAGACCCTCTGAAATTTCCACACTTTCCAGAGCTCCTGTCAGTAGAAGTTTTCTACATATATCTTTCATGAAGTTGAAGAGAAGATACTGCATAGAGAAAAAATATATATATATATCGGTTGTGATTGATTGTAATGTGTTTGCATGTTCAGTATCCTGTGCTTTGTCAACCTAAGGTTGGCATTGGCTGATACTCTGATATTCACTTTCATTACCCCCCCCCCCCCAAAGAAAAAAAAAAAAAAGAAAAAAGAAAAAACTCAAATGTTGAAAGGGAAATATCCCACATGAATAGCCATGAAACTGACAGATATTTTGCTCCATATTCTCCTCCACACCTTCAAAATACAATCTGCTTTTACTAAGATTTTCAAAAGCATGCTTTATGTGGGCTGACTTCACCTTTTGCAGACAATAAGAGATCTTCAGGAAAGTTGAGGTGTTTGATTTTTTTTACTTTTCAAGGTAAAGATGATCCAAGTGACTATTGAAACATGGGATTAATTTTCAATTGCTCAAATGGATTTGAAAAACACAAATATTGCATTACCCAAACCATGAACTCATATCTGTTAAGTAATCTGCAAATCATCTTTTGACCTTCTATTGTTCAAGTTTCAAACCCTTGGCAATCAATTGGAAAGAGGAAAGTGGATTGTATCCATATAATCCATTGATAAAGTTTGCTATTCCAAATTCAAAGTCGTTTCCTCAAAGCATGGAAAAGGTGATTTAGTATTGTGATGCCAAAATGGCTATGTTGTGATTGTGTTATGACGGTTTCATTATGTGAGCCAAATAATGCAGTAATCCATTAGTGCAAGTAGAAGAGTGCATAGCAGTAAGCTACTTTTTCTTGGAATTGGACTCCTTTAGTTACCTAAGTGGGGTGACTCAGTTACCTTGTGACTTTCTGTTTTGGTTAAGATCCTAATGCCATGGGTGTTAATTGCAGTGTGCTTTGGAGCATTCCTTTTCCAACAATCGTGACGAGGAATACTATTGGAAGTCATGGAGTACAATTTCCAAATGCCCCCTTCAGCATCTTAAGACAGTCAAGGTCATTGGTTTCCATGAATCATGCACATCAATGAAGCCCCTGTTTCAGTTTCTGGAGTTTTTGCTTCGAAACTCTAGTGCTCTTCTAGAGATTGCTATTCAAGCATCAAGATATGTGACACAGGGGACAGTAGATGAGGCTCTAAAGCTTCTTGATGTTCCCACAGCCTCCCCCGATGTGGTAGTGCACTACGAACCCTCTCATCTTTGGGTGGATCCCCTCTACGTGTACCAAAAGTTAACTCTTGTAAGCTGCCCTGAAGAAGTGGCATGTTAAGAATTCATAATGTAAATATTTTAAGCTTTATAAATTATCTACTTTCAGATATCCTTGCCTGATCTTCTATTGTATTTTATAGCTTTTTTCAATGTAAAGCATGGAAGAGCATGACTACGTTTTCTAAACGGAACATATGGTCGGTATGATCAACTAGGTACTCTTCGATTCACTACATTAAGTTACGATATATAAATGTCTCCCAGCTTCTAAAAGCATGTGGTTCATATCAGGGCCAGGCAGCCGAGTTTTTACCAGTTCAGGGCTAACTACTGAACAGTGGCACTGGGTCTTCCTCCTACACGCGCACACTAAACCATCTCACTCTAGCAGTCACTGTCAAACATTTTCATCAATCGTTCGTTCTAACAGTCTCAGTGTCTCACAGTCCAAATAGATTTTTTCCGACCAGTCGAAAAACTTATCTTAAAAAATTTCACTACATTCGACTGCTTACAAATCTGGTTTTAACATGCACTCTATATCAATATCATTTAATAGGTTGCTTTATTTAATCAAATGTCAGCACTGCATCATGTTGAGGTAGCAACTTTATTTTTCTTATTAAACAAAAAAATTTGTAGTCGTTTGGGTATGATTTTTTTTATTAAGAGCTAATAAAATTTTGTATTTGTATAAATATTCTTGTTTTAAACTTATCTATATGCAACATAATTAACTGAACAATTGCTGAAATTTCTCGATGTTGACTTAATAAACAAATACTTCGTACTGCGTACACAACTCCCCGTGCTTTCCCTTGACCCAATTTTAGCGGAATGAGGAGCATTATATTATGTCCCTTCCAAAAAAAAAAAAAAAAAAAAGGAGCATTATATTATGTTATTCATGTGAAATTGAAATGAATAATTGCTAACTGAATAGTATAAATAATAGAGGGACATTAGGAGTTCTAATATCATTCCATCCTCCAATAACTCAATTACAGTTGGATAATCTACAAAATTAACTTTAATGGAGAAGCTTTCTCTTTCATCTATTTCTAAGCTGGATTTGCTCTTAGCATTTCTGGTGCTGATTATGTCAGGTATCGTTTTCAAATTTTAGTTTTCATTTAACTTCCTACTTCCTCCATTTCTTTGACTAGTTACATAATTACCACCTTAATAAATTCATCTGTAAGAATATAAAAAATAGTCCGATTTTGTTAGGTTTATTGTTGTTACTCTAACAAGTTAGCGGATCACTCAAACTAAAACCATTATGTCGTTGCAAGAGATGATTTTATGGAATAAAAAAGGCATTAACATGCACATCGTATATCAATCAGTATATAAGTTTAATTGCATGATAATTGTATCGTTAGTTATTAATGCTTATAAATTATACATACGTAAGCATGTACCATGTATGGTATATACAGAGCCAACGCTGGGTCAAATTATCAAATGCTCAACAAATGGTTGGCCGTGTCTAATAAACTGGCAATGCTGTTCTAATTACTGCTGTTGGCCTGAATCTGATGCCGATCTTGGGTGGGCACTCTGTGCGGATAGTCCATGAGACCCGACTCAACAGAGATGTACGGCTCAATATCAGCCGGCTGCAAAGTGATGTACTCCGATCAAGCTATGCTGTTTTATGCCAAGTATCTATTTTGTATATTACAGACTTACAGAGTACTCCCTATTATAATGCGTGCATTTCCTTGTTTTTTTTTTTTTTTTTTTACTTCCTACGTATACCCTTCCCTTCAAGAAGACAAATATAAAATTATTAATGTTTTATGCTATTCCAAATCGTATTAAATACGATGTGCATGTTAACTTATCACTAACAGAGTAACAGGAAGATATAGAGTGAACATACTTCCAAAGAAGCATTTTATATTTGGCAGGAGCTTTAATCCTCCAAATAGAGTTCTAGAAATTAAAAAAAGAAGAAGCAACCTTGTCTGTGATAAAGATTAATTTGGTATATTAGTTCAATATTAACAAATACTACAATAACAAATAATATCATCAATACAAATCTCATTTTACTTTCTAATTTTGATGGTACTTTTATTACTGTCCAAAATAAATTGTGTGTTATAATTTCCACCATTGGTATACACTTCATAAATGAACTTAGCAACATGGCATGATAGATACTTGAGAAAAATATGAAAATAATGGGAAGTTAAGGGACATAATCAGGATGCATCTATACTTCCATGTTAGTGAAGCAACAAATATAGTAGAATGTACATTCTCAAGTTCCCATAAAAGTCAGTCATACCATAGGACTTTTAAGTAACATAGAGAGCAATGTGAACATTAAAACATTAAGGATATATAGAGAGGGAGAGAGGAAACACATCTATGCATCTAACTACAAGGAATTGATCGCATTTTGTAACCGCCATCGATGATTTTAGGTGTGATAAACCAGACCTTTAGCACAAGCAATCCTGTTACTCTTACTTTCCAAATATATTAGATACTGTAAAGATGTTAACAAATCAAGCAAATACAATAGTAAGGATAAAAAAAATCAGTAAATGATCTTACTTTCCGACACCCAACGATTATCATCCTTGGAGAGTCCCACATTCATGCATCGATTAGAGCACACCGAATCACCAAAAAAACTGCTTTGGAGAACAACCATTCTTCCTTATATCTTCCGAAGTATAGCTTCACAATAGAATCATGAAAAAAAGGGAGAAAATCAAATAACAATTGAACAGTTGTACATAAGCTTAGAAAAACAAAAATAAGATGAAGCGAATAGGGAGAGATAGAGAGAGCTACTGCATAACAAACTCGCAAGGTTTGATGTTTTTGATGTTTTCAATGATCTTGATAGCCTTGGATTTCTTTAATCTAGTTGAGGATGTAGATGCAACCTGAGTGGTGTCACAGCCATGAGCTTTATCTTTAAGAACCGTGTCACCTCTCCAATTGGATACTCCTTTGGGGTTCATTGCCTCGTTCATCTGAAGTGCTCCAAGGGGAGAAATTACAAGTATTCAGTTATAAGGAATTACGAAAATTAGTAACGCATAAATAGGCATTGAAAAACCCCTGCTAATCTCTACATTGAAAACCCCTGCTAATCAAATGGCCTTTAGTAGTAACTGGCAGCATCTACTACAGAAAAGGAAGATGTCTATTCAAATGACTGAAAATCTGTAATGGGTGAGGTCAATAGCATTGAGAAGTGTAATTAACGAGAGCTAAGATCAACTTAAACTGTATGTTGTAGTACAAGTGCTACATCAACCGGAAAGCCAATAACATATGCAAAGGTAGTAGGCAGGAGAGAAAGAAAGCCCTTAATTTTTAGAGGGTATCTAGACCAAGTAGTGACAGTCGATACTAGCAAGACTATGTGACAATCATCTTTAAACGATACTCCTTAATTCCTTATTCATCCCAAGACAACAGAAGGGTAAACATGGTCGGTCCAAAGAGTTCAATCAATTCCTGTGGACAAGAAAGTTCAATTCAAGCAGTGTTAAAAAACAGAACCTCTGTAGACAAGAATGAACGCGTTCTTTTATGGAAAATTGGAAACAAACAATCATTCTTAAAAGTACAATAGATTGATTAATTGTATAAAAAGTGGAAATTAATACGAGGGTGATTGAACGAATAGAGGGAAGTCCTAACCAAAGAAAAAACGAACGTCTCCAAATAAGTAAAGAAGATTTGTCTGGTTTTTGGGTCATCCACTAATGCTTCCATGACGTAGCTTCAGATACATAGAAATCGGTTAAATTAACCTACGAAAATCGAATATTAAAAGGGAAAGAGGAAGGAGAAATTGACCAAAATACGTGCACAGCAGAATCAGAATTGATGTCGATAACCCTGCCATTGATGATTAGCTTGGTTCTTCCAGCCATGGTTCTCACACCCAATATCAATCAATCAATTGACAAAATATACAAATGAGTTCTCACTCGTATACTATTATACGACTTGTTATTTGTTACAGTAACAGTTTTACACACTTACACATTAGGGCTATTGTTGAATTGACCACATTAATATTTTAATGATTGACTTACGTAAAACAAACTCTGACTAATGATGTTTATAAGTCTTAGTTGAACAGAAAGATTCAGGTATACGAATATATGTTCCGGAGTAGGAACAACAGAGTTTGGAAGACTTGATGATGAATGCAAGCTTTCAAGATGTCCTCACAACTCTAGTATACTTAGTTATTCAGTGTATGAACTTAAGAAACAAAAGTGTTGGAAGGAACTCATGAGAAACTCAAAGTTCCTGATGGAATCTGGAATTCCTGAAGGAACTTGACTGATGCTCAGAAAAGTGTTTAAACGATGGTTTTCAAAAACAGTTTTCATATCCCTTAATTTAAGGAAAAGATAAAATCAGTTTTGAAAAAGATTTATTTTATAAATAAATAAAATCAAAATAATTCATTAATTTAAAAGATAAGTTTTTAAATTAATTAATTATTTAGTTATCTTTTAATTAATAAACAATTATCTTTTTTAATTAATAAATAATTATCTTTTTAAATCCTTAACTGATTTTTGACTTAGTAAAAATAACTGTTTGCTTAAATTAAGGAAGCACGTTGATTTAGGAGTCAAGCTAGGGAAATCATGTTCCTAAATTTCCTCTGCCTACATCCCAACTTCTCAGTTAAAGAGAACGTGGGATTAAGGGGGAAGTGGGAAGTTGATGGAAGCTTGTTTTAACTCCTTATAAAAACAGATCAACGTTAAGTTTTGAAAGAGTGGAAAAACAATTTTAAGTACTCTGAGCATAGAGTTTCAAAGTGTTTAAAAGAGAAGTTCCTTCCACCCTTAGTCTCTTAAGTTCTTTAAGAAATACTTGTAATCATTGTGTAATTGGGTTTGGGTTGTGAGAGTTGTAAAGTGTGAGTCTTGAGAGAGTACCTCATACTATACAAGTGATTCAGAGTCGAATCACAAAGAGAGAAGCTACGATTGAGGGATCGTAGTTTGGGTAACTTGAGTTCCTCACGGAACTTAGGTCTAGGCAGAATATTAGTGCGTGTAATTCTTTTTACATAGTGAAAGTATTCATTGCCTATCTCCTGTGT